TCTGAAATAATTATGTGGCAGTGCGCCCCAATCCCTCCTTGCCTGCGATCGTTCAACTCGCAAAAAGCAAAAAGTGTAGACAAAAGTCATTGCTTGTGCGGGGCAAGAAGAAGCAAGCATCAGCGTACGTGTACTTATGAATGTATGTGTGATTATCACATTTTTGTAAATACGCATAATAAGGAAATATTGAATAAATCTAAACATATGAACATATTTTCCTGAAATATTTTAATTATCTCTGAAAGTAAAATATGCTAAATAAGTTATTGAATTGAGATATGCTAATTAATTCCAATTAATAAAATAAAAAAATTAAATAAAATTTTAATTTTATGTATGTTAGCAATCGAACTTATATGCTCGTATTCGGATTGAGCTTAACTCAACTTATCATTTGTTTGATAAGTATATTGCTTACGCAACGCCAGAAATGTAAAAATTCATCAACATTCTCTGATATCAATAAATATGATTGCATATAAGTACGCTTATAAAAATATAAGCCAAAAGAGTAACATGCGGCTGTAATATCTATGCAAACTTCTGAGCATAATTTTTATTCAATGCTCAGCTCTGTTCACTCGCCACTGTTAAAATTTCTTCTTCCGAGCCGACTGTGGTGAAACACTCTCATCGCATTTTGTTAGGTTTTGACAATTCACACGCTGGTCCGTAGTTGGACCTTCTCTGTATTTTACGTTCTCTGCAAACACTTACGTTCGAATCCGGTAAATCATAAATCTTATTTTTTATTTATGGTATGTATGTACATTTTGCTTGGTTCCTTTAAAGAGTGGTGTAGTTCGTTGCGTTCCCTTATAGGGTGGTGAAATTTCATTTTCGAACTTGAGCTTTTTCGATGTTCTATCATAATAACAGAGAATGTTAATAAATAGAAAGTGCATTATTTATTAACATTCTCTGCCTTCTCTGTTCGATAACATTCTCTGATATAAATTATTTCGCAAAAAGCTTTTTTAAAATGCATAGCTCATGAATTATAGTAAAAAATATTAATATGTTTGCAGTAAATGTCCACTTTTCGATTTAACAACAAATAACATATGGAATTTATACAAATAGCCCAAAGTTAAATCAAAGATGGTGATAACATTCTCTGGTTAAATCGCTTAATTTCTTGAAATATAAAAATTATTAGCAGTTATAGTTAAAAAGAAAAAGGGCAAAACAAACGTCACAGACATATGTACATATGTACATGCATAGGCATTTGTGATTATTTATGAAATATATCATAAACAAATTTACAAATATATTAAACAAAAACAAATTTTCGTTTACAAAAAATACCATACTTATATTATATTAAGATCTAATGTTTACGGTAAGTCCTAAAACTTCTACACCTATTGGATATTAACGGTTGGCGTAAAACGTTTTTCATAGCTAAACTATTACATTTACGATTTAAAAACCTGTAATTCGGCGACACCGAATTGTTTATAATTAATTTTTACTTGTGAAACGGACTATTTACAATTACATTATTATTGTAGTTATATCGTTTATGAAACATTAGGAATTACCTACACACACAAGATTATATTATGCATAGATTTTATATATCTAAAAAATGTTGTTTGTAGTTTCATTCCTTTATTAGTTTAGGTCACCAATTTCCCTTTCTTACAATGTCTAGATAATTTTTTGCTTTCATTTGAGTATGACACTGTTAATATTGATGCACACTTTTGGTACAGTTTGCCTACATACGACATTTCCTTCTCTATTTTTCATAAACCGTCTTACTCCACTACCATTTATTTCGAAGTTTTCCAGTGAGTCACTTTCAGAATTGTTGTATTTTAGAATTACGACTATACATATGTACTATGTGCAGGTATATACATTTATATCTCATACTACTTTAGATCTGCACTTATTTACAGTGATTTCGTATATAATGTGAATACATACACATATATTTGCATATATATAATAACATATGTATTTGTACGCAAATGTATAATCTGAAATATACTAGTACTCTTAGAGAAAGTTTATGTGTAAGCATGTGCATTTCTGTATGGTATATGCAACTTCATCAGCATACATATATGAAACATTAATTAAAAAATAGCAAAATAAAGCTAAAACAAACTACGAGTCTTTTTGAAATATTGTAAAGGTTTTAAAATAATTTATTAACGGCATAACTACTATTTCTATACAAAGTAATTCGCTTCAATTTATGTAGTCATACCGCTCCTCTGAACAAAAAGTTAACCTGACTGTTTACCAAGTGAACGACCTAGGTTTTGCAGCGAACTTGGGCGCAAGCTCGTTGGGGTTGAAATAATTTTGGTATGCTTGCCGCCTCAACTCAGCAAGTGATTCAAAACTAAATGAAAAAGCTACAAAATAACGAGTAGTATTCATTATTAATTAATAATTATATCTAAAATATTTTTATTTTTTATGGGGTCATAAAACCGTTTTGCGTCACTCCTGATATTTAATATCTGCCATATTGTACAGCTTTAATATAAAAAATATACATTGCATGTTGAGTTTGGGGAATTTTTCTTTCAGGTGTACAAATAAATTTGGAGACTTTGGCACAGGTAGTTCGGTACTATGTAGGATTGGTCTGTTGGCCGAAAAAAAGTTTGAATACTGGATATTATGGCAGAAATGAATATGTAGCTGCACGTGATTGAAACAAAATTATTATATATTGTTTATTAAACTCACCAACATAAAAATAAATTATCACAAAGTTCGTGTGACAAAAACAGTGTTTAACAGTTTTATTCTCCCTTAATAATTGTTAAATAAAATGTACGTACATCTTTTTTGTTACTACACGTATTTAGTTTTTAAATTTTCTAAACATAAATACTAAATATTTTAAATATAAAAGGTTACAATATAAATAATATGCAAGTTGAAATTGTAACATGTTGATTTCCAATATGTCCATGTACTTTTTACTACCAAACATAAGTGTCGAAATGCATTTTCTTTTATGTATGTATGTCTAGAAAGTACCCACAAAGAATTTGAGTAGACGTTGAAATGGCAACGACCATGAACGGTGCAAAATATACCACTACGTTAACGAAAGGTATGCAATAGCATATATGTATGTATACATACCATCGCATTTACATCTATAGTTATATAATATACACACATACATATGTACAGAGTGCACATATAATATGATATAAGTATGTACTTATGTAGATATAATTATAATGCTTTCAACCGGTCTGGCCATTGTTCGAGAGTGGAGTAAATATGTATACATATGTACACATCCAACTTCAATTCATATAGGAAAAATAGAAATGCGGCAGCAAGGCAATATTGCAATGCCACTGCCAATGTCACGAACATGAAAAAGCTGGAGGGTGGCAGCCACAGACGGGTAGAATGAAAGTAGGTAAGGTTGAGCATGTGCAAATGTATAACTTAAGTCAAGCAGAACGTGTTTTCATACCGCTGTAGCATGCAGTCTGGGTGCCCTTCCTGCTATAGTACTCGCCCTTACAACGACAGACGGCGAAGTTTCAATGTGTAATAGTGATTAAGACTATATTGTAGAATCACAAAAATATAAGAGTACACGTATGCACACATAAGTATATACATAGTATATATATTTTGCAATATGAGGACGTTAGCCTTGGTGCTGTATACAACTCTGCAATACGCATAAGTATGTGCTTGTATGTACAATATATTTACATATTATATATAGGACGTAAGGCTTATTTTGTTTTAGTTAGCTCTGTTCAAATTCTGACACATGCGTACTGTTATTCTAACGGAGAATAATATGGAAATCTCGTTAGATTATTTAATAAAACGAATGACTTAAAAAAGTCGTCTGTTTATTCTTACCTAAAATTTGTCGCAGAAGGCTGCAAAACCCTTGGGTTTTGTGTAAATCCTTTAGAACATAAACATGTATTATATCTTAAACAAAAACTGGAATAGAAAATGTATTATTATTATTCATCATCACATTTAGAAATTTAATACATATACGATGAAAAGAAAGAAGAAATTAAGACCTTTGAAGAATCACTCATTATTTATTTCACACTGGGTAATTCATGAAAATAATTTCCTAGTAAAGCATACATGAGAATCTAGTTATATTAATATGAATATGTTTAAAAATGTAAAGATTTTTATTCCAATGAATAATAAATATGTATATACACAGATATGTACATACCATATATAATACAATGCTTATGAACAAATATGTTACCCAAAAAGATTTTACAGAAACCATATCAATACATCCAGACATATTAATACAAACATGTATATGTATGTATATACATGTATATAAATAGTACGGTGGCCCATCAACAAGAAATGTGACGATGACAACGACAACAACGCGGTGAAGGTCATTGATACCAAAAATTATGACTCCCTTTGCCCTACTCCACATCAATATAGGCGTTGAGACGCTGCAGTAAAATGTGTGGCGAGTAATCCTAGTGGTATACTAAACGCTTACACAACCCAATTACGAATGCAGTCGTAGAGAGACATATATTTGTATGTAGGTATATGTGCATATACGGGCTATAAACTCGAACGTCACTCGAGTATTTAATAACGAAGCGTCACAACAACTGGGACGTGAGGAGAGCCATTCTACTAGAAGAGAGAATGCTTATGTATGCATACGTATATATCTACATACAAGCTCATTTTACTATTATGGAAAGTGAACTACAATTTCAACTGCAAGTGTATAAAGTGTTCGGCATTTGTGACAACCCAGAACCGGGTTTCATCTTTACTTCTGACATTAACGGAAATATTAGCTACGGTTCAGGAGCCATAGGACAATATAATGGTATATTAATAGAATAGTTGTGTGAAGGTATTAATTGTTAGATTAATATAGATTTATGTATAATAAATACTTATATTCCACCATAGAGATATAAAACTACAAAATTTATTTAAAGAAGAGTAGTAACATTCTATGATCGTTATTTAAATTATACTTGTAAATAATTGATTTGATTGTTATTTAATTATAGTTCTAAGTTAATGAACAAAATACGTGAAACTTATGTATGCACTTGTCTTTTCGTGCTGTATTTTTAACATTACACATAATTTTATTTTTCTATGTGTACATTGGTGGTTGAGAACTAGGATTGCCAACATCATCTTGCTTATATATCATTATTGAATTTTATAGAAAAGATAATAATAAATTATTAAATAAGAACACCTTAATTGTAACTGCGGATTTATGGTTTGTAATTGAAATAAAAGTAATACTCACTTTTTTATGTCTTATGCGTAGATGTTGTGATTGTGTTAAGGCAAACATAGCTCATTTCATTATTTTATAATATTAATTGTTATCATCCATAATAACCGTCGGACGGACAAAATTGCATCCCTTTTTAAATGTCTTGTGCTGAACATTGTGTAAATATAGAAATTTTCTAGTAAACAAACCTTTGTAGATGTCCATGATCCTATTTAAAAAAAAAAATGGAAACCCTAAAACACATGCAATAACATCCCTTACTGCACAAAAGGGAATACTTTTTAGGAAAAGCGAAGATGGTCTATATATACATACATGTGTATGTATATATATATATATGTATACGCATATATGCTCATATACTGTTTTACAATGCTCAATGTTATAGGGCTGGCGTTGTTCATTGAACTTGCCTCCCATTTTAATACATATCTAACCCTGTATATATGGGTGTATGCCCTCATACTTGCGTGATCCCTGTGTCTGGACGAATTCGTTGACTTCTCTTAGCTGCGTTTTGTGTGGTGCTTTCACACAAACATTCAGGTCTCTATATGGATAAGTTTTTTTGTCGTAAATGCAGTTCCGTAAATGTTTGTGAGCGCGTTCAACTCGGGCTGGTATTCATCCACCTCTATCTACTTTGTCTGCTCCCACTCTACTTTGTGCTAAATTGCCTGAGCGTCCCGACCTACCCACACTCTTTGCAACTTAAACCAATATGCCGGCGTTGTTCTGAGTTTCATTGCCCGCTGCGCTGCTTGAACACCCATTTGTTTACTCACTTGTTTGTATGACAGGCGCCTGACGGTTGGTGCAGATTTGTACATTGTACATGAGTTGATTCAATGGTTTTAGAGTTCTGACGCTACTTGCAAGGTTAGTCGCAAAAGCGACATCAAGTCGTTCATATGTGGTAGTAGCTTATTAATTTACATGTCAGATATTTTCGATACTTTAGTGATTTAAATATACAAAATGTACATAAATAGTGTTGTTCTTCTGAAGTTTAAATAAAATAAGTAAACAGAAAAATTTTTGGTGAAGAGTAAAGTGTTGTAAAAACAAAGATATTTAACAAAATTTTAAACAAATCATAGTGCTTTCTTTTACTTCGAGTAGTTTTTGTTTTAATAAATAAACTGCAATATTTATACGGCATACCCTCCTTTAATGTTTGTAAAGAAATACTACAAGATACTATAATAAATAATAAGCGGTACTTTGAATTTCATTAGCGATCGTTAAGTCTCCTATTGTTATTTACATGTTTGTATACATATTATATGTATATACCATATGTACATAAGTACTTATGTCTACGTTTGTATGTCTTTGTCTGATGGTATGTATGTATGTAGATACGATATACATATTTAACATATGTTAAGCATTGGTAAAATAGTCAAGTGTTCATACATTTTTGTAAAATTAAAAAAAAATATAGCTTTTGATTTTAATATTATCTTAAAGTGGAACAATTCATACTTATTTTTCAATTATTCCATCCAGAGTTTTATTTGACTTAATTCTGATTCGTTATATGAATTATCCCGAATTAGCAGTGTGGGTCAGGATGATTTACTAATATTAACTAGATAAGTATGTAGGTAGGTAAGTAACGCGGCTGTCTACCGACGCACATAGGGCGTTAGAAGGCCCACTATGATAGCACCAGGACTAAAGTCCCCTCATTCTATTGTCTCTTCTCTGAACCACCCGTGCTTCTAATGAAGTACGAAAAGTTTTATTTGTGCAACGTCGAGACGATATATTAACTATATAATTTAATGTAAAAATTACATTCTAACTTGCAGTCAGAATAACTTGTACACAAATTTTAGTTTAAATATTTATGGAATTTTTGGGCTTATGAACAGGCTTATCCATTAGCATAAAGCTTTTCATAGTGCATACATCAAGTTTCAAGAGTTAAAATTTCAATATAGTTTCATATAGTGTGTGCCCAAGTTCCTTAATGTACGTAGTAACAATATTCTTAAATATGTATCTTATAAATGTGGTGGCTGTCGACAACTTCGATATCATTATTGTTAGAGAGCATGACAGGAGCGCATTTACTCTCCTAATGCTTAACTAACCCTCATATGCAACGGATCAATGTTAAGGTCAGTGGGTAGATGTACTCGTTTCTTCATGGGCATCGCCTGATGCAGTTCATTAGAAGCCTTCGCATAATTCGCGCATGGACACATGTCAGTGTATTCTACATACATACATATATAAGTATTACATACACTGGATAAATTAAAATATACAGTATACAATTTAAAAGCATACATGAAGTTACTAGCTCAGTTCTATCATTTCTATTGGTCTTATACAATAATTTAGTATTTATGTACATACTTTGCATATGGCTGTAAAATTAATTTCATAATTAAATCTTTGTTTGTTTCTGTATAATAGAGGAAAACTCACATTTTAAAGATTTTTAAAAGACTGCATTCTACAACATCACTGAGTACCTTCATACACATAATTAGTACTTAAATGTATATTATAATGCGTGTTAGGCGTAAGAAATGTATTAATACTTGGATACAATAGTCTTAGTATGTTTGAAAATATATATTGCAAATATAGCAATCCGAATATTTGATTACCATTTATTATAGTTGGAATGGTAATTGGAAAAAATATTACCTTTTGAACATGAGACCAATATTATTACTATGTATATTATATTCCTTCCCTACTTTTTATATATTCATTTATTTATATTTAAATGCTGTATAAAAAATAGGCATTTTGGTATTGGCCTAACGTTAAAACAATGAATATTGTACACAATTTTCGATTCCGACCAGAGGAAATTTGTCCTTACTTTTTATATTGTATTTACATTTGTACATATACTTTGACGCGGTATACATTTGCCTGCTGAAATCGATGAGAACAAGTAGTATCTGAGAGCAAAAATTAGATGCGAATGTATATTTCGCTCTCACATGAGATTCACGAATATTTCAGAGTGAATGCACTTGTTTGATATACATATTTATTTGTAGGAAAACATATAACACTACATATGTATATACAATACAACATGTTGTGCGCAAAGCAAATTATTTGTTAGTGCCGTTTCAGACAGGGATGCAAAAGAGTCGGATGTTTTTCAAATTTTCTTTTGGTGTCGCTCTGGGCATTCACACGGTCAAAAAGAGTCCAGCAACTCGAGTCTAGTTTTTCTGCATTCCTTTTCACAAAATGTTCGTAAATATTTGTGCGGTTCGACTGCGCAACACCGCGCAACACTGCGTGCTGCGTATTTCATTTGTATGTTGAGATGATGGTCACACATTTTGCTTGCAATGAATTACCATGAATATGGTAGAACAATATGCATAGTACAAGTACCTACCCGCTAAATAGTTTCAAAAAAATACTAAAGACGGGAATTCCCTAATCCACAAGAATGTATTGAATATCCGCAACTAATATTTTCAAGGCCAAATTTATAATAGGAATTTCCTAATCTTTAAGTATTAAAAACTCATAATTTCTTTACTCCATATTAAAAATTCATAATTTCTTTACTCCATAATCTATATCTTAATTTTCTCCTTATTTACAATTTGTCATAATATTTCTATTATTCTATGCATACGTATTTGCATATTACATACAAAAATAGATAACAGAACTCAAATTTGCGATCGAATTCATTTGAAACCGAGCGCTCTTGCAACCATTCAAAGGATTTGAAAGTGAAAAGGAATGCTGAAAAGGGTAGCAGCGAGCTGTTACGAACAAGAACACAAAGCGTGCCACCCGAACACGAGTGGCACGGTCCCTTCGTCTTTCCTCGTCGTCCCCTCGCCCACAATAAACTGGTTTGAGACTCTTTTGCGTCCCTGTCTGAAACGGCACTTACTTGTGGTAGTGAACTTGAATTTGTGTTATTGAGTAAAAAAACAACAATGCTACTTTTAGCTATAGGTATGAGTTTGTATGTATGTGGATATTAAATACAACAATAATGAGTACTGCCGCTATACTTCCTGTTCTGGGTTATTTATTTTTTTATATACTAAACTAGCATCAACTCTTCGGTTCTCTTGATTTTCTCTTCTCGCTCATATTTGCGTAAGATTATCTCAGGGTTTCACTTTCGTTGTACAATAGGAAAGTAAAGTCTTCAGGGAGCGCGATAGGGTTGTATAAGAAATGTCGATTTTGTCACCGAAATATCTCTTTTCTGTGTTGATTTTGCAGCTCCAGTTCTCCAATTTTGTAAAGTGAGATTGCGTTGTAGGTTCTCTTTATTTTATTGCTTTTTATTCTCATAGACACATGCCTACTTTTGCATGGACATTGCGAAATTCATTGGTTCAATCTCTGCCATTTATGTCTGTATGTATTAGCAACTATTTTAAGTTCCGAGAACTGAGAACAATGCTGATTTACCACATCGACTGCAGACACACGTATCTACATACCATACATTAACATACATGAAATACAACTATGATGACGATACTGAGACCAGCAGTAAGTCAGTAAGAGAAAGTACGGCAACAGCTTTGGTTGATTTAATTGCTTAAATAATTTCGGTTGTATACGAATAAACCAATGCGATTGGATCAAATAAAATGAGTAAAAAATGTGATAAATTAATTGTGTATTCCAAAAGTTTGGTTATTCTAATTCAAATACATTCGAAAAAAGTAAATACAATATGCATATGTGAAAGAATTATGTAAAAAAACAGTGAAAATCAAATTCTTGTAAAAAAAATCTCATTGAAATAAATTCTTGAAAAAGTGTAAGGAATAAAAAAATTATTACAAATATAAAATAAAAAAAAAATAACGGACTGAGAGAATTTGTATGGGCCAAGCACGACCTTGTCCTTGGCGGTATTCAGCTATAGCTGCCATTCAATGCCAGTTTTCCTCCTAACTCATACATTTGCGAAAGACTAGTAATGTCAGTGTCAAGCGAATTTTCTGTCTCTCATGGTCAAACCGGCGTCGCTGCGGCACTATTGCTGTGATTCGGTTATCTGTTAAGCACACATACAGCTGTTTTGAGATATTTTCACATACTTTACCGAAAGTTACATGGATTTTGTAAACAATGAAAAATTTTGCATATATTTCAACATTCAAGTTTTATTAATATAAATAAATTATTTTTTTATCAAAATCAGAAATAAACAAAATATGATATGAGCGTCTATGTCTATTGTGATGTTTCTTTTAAGAGAAAATACCAGCAAAATTCCTTGGTAAATAAAAATAATTTCTGACAACTGTCATGTGAGTAAATTGTTTCATAATTGTCATAACATTTTTGTAGAAGCGGAAATCGCGCAAAGAAATGTTTAAATAAATAACAGCTTTTTCTTTCTCTTTATTCCATAAATTAATTGCCTAACATTTTAAAATAAAAGCAGCTGTAAATAATAATGTAACTTTTTAATAGAATTTACGCTGCCTGATTTTAGAAGCAAAGAAGAATGCATGGGCAATTTGACAACCAACATTAGTGAATATTGCTTTGTTAGTTGGCATAAATTATGGGAAAACTTTATTATAACGTCCCACGCTTTCGGGGATAAAATGGGTATGGGCGGATAGAGGAGATCCTCCAGATCAAGAATATATACAGATATAGCCGCGGGAAACTTATAGTTTTCGAGATATTTGGGTTTAAAGTTCAAAATTTCGACTATTTAAAGTACGCATTTTTCCCATTTCGAATGAGTTATACACTTATATTTTCCACTTTTATATCCACTAACACTTCACTAATTCGTTTGTACACATTTATTTTACATTATATAGTGCAAAAATAGTTTAATTCAATAATTAAATTATTGTTAAATTCTATTAATTCTGACACTAACAAAAGGGTTGCAAAATTTCAAATAACCAGTGTTACCTTATCGACATCTTTTGTAATTGAACTGAAAGAAATTAAAACAGATAATACCCCAAATACAGGTATCCAAAACCTAGAGAAATAAACTATTACAAAGCATTGATGTTAAGTATTATGTTATACCCTCTATG